GTACGCCTACATGTTATAAATTAAGATTACTCTATTTTAGAGTAAGGTTGACAACCCAAGATATTTTTTTAGCATGCGAGCTTTTTGTTGATTAATATAAAATGTATTATTTATGTAACATTAGAGTATGTAATCAATTTATTTATGACCAGCTGTTTCAAGGTATAGCCTAATACTAATAACCTAAAACTATAATGTAGCTACCCGTAGGTAAAAAAACCATCCAAGTCCAGCATTGACGGAGTCTATTAAGAGCCTTATTACAAATTTGCACTCGGTGAGATTAAGTATTTTGAAGCTTCCCGAGTTCTCGACAGCTTGTTCAAGGTCACGAGTTCACATCACTGTGTTGAAACTACGACCAAATTATTCTGATACTTTTCTCAATTTTTGTACATTTTTTTGGTACTTCTATGGTCTGATTTATTTTCGATTCTCCGACATTTATACACGACTGCCCAGAAAAGGAGTCTATTATGTTTAGAATTTTAATATATGTATGTGAGCTTTTTTATTCCACTTTTGAAAGACATAACGGATATGAATGTAACAAACTCACAAACTACGTAGGCTATATTTTTAAATATTAAATATGGCGGATGTATGACGATATGTCTTTTTTTTAATTTGTAGCAATATGGATATCATGTTATAGGTCTTGATAAGTAAATTAATAATATATACATAAATAACTGTTCACTGACCCAACACAACTGCTAAGATCGAACTTAAAACAAACAAGTTTAGCCAAATCATAGGCTAAATAAAATCCTCATTGGAGCTGGTGGACTGTTCTGTGGAACATTTGTAATCTAAGAGAATATTGTAGTCTTTGAGAATTTGATTAGCCTAGCTATACTACAACTTGTTTCTTTTACTTTTAGTTCGATATTCGCGGTCGCGTTTTTTAAAATACCGTGAATCGAAGCATGTAATTATGTAAGAGATAGATTATACTTATAGTCAGCACACACGCCACTTAGAGGAAAATCATATTACCATATATATTCATATTTTTTGTATAACGGCTAACGTGATAAATTTCACCTGATTATTTTCATTAAGATTTTTACTTTTCCCATGACACGAAGTCCTAGTTTTTATCAAACTGCTATCAACTGATCATTAATAAAATTAAAATCAGATACGAAAACCTGTTACAGTGACATTAAAGTACAATTTGAGACGTGCTGAACTTCTAATTCTCTCAATGAGGAAGTATTTAAAAAAAAAGAAAGCACTAAAAAGTACATCACTAGATGGCGACTATAGCAAAAGTTGATTTTTGCAGCGAACGAATGGACCAAAAATAGTCATTTCTGTTTCTTTTATATAACATATAAATAAACTGAAATTTGCAAAGTTCGAAACTTAGATATTAATACAAACACGAAAAAGTATAAATAGAAAAGGAATTATTTATTAAATTTTGAAAATTAATTTCCTTTTATACATGAAAGAAAACCGAAAGGGTTGTCATGGAGAAATCAAGAGAGTACCGTAGCGACATCTTGTTTGATTTCGGGAACTAATGTTTTTATTTAAATACTTCCTTATTTCGAAACCGGGTGTATATCTATGATAAAATAAATATTTAATAAAATAAGTTTGTGCCATATACTCCGTGGGTGATTTCGGAATATTTTTTTATCCATCGTAAATACGATTTTTTCTTGGCAAGATCCATTCTAAAACAGACCCATTATCAACATATCATTAGTGCTGAAAAGTAGTAAATTAGAATTATATTAAAGTAGCTGTGGTTGCGATTATGTCCGCATGCATAAGGTTCACTCATGGCTCGATGCGATGCAATTCGATATCAATGAGCGATTCGCACGCCCTTATTAAATTTATAGAGAATCGCAAATCTTTACTCATGAGATAGCACAGTTACATCTCCTCGATTTCAAATTGCATGAACGTACTCATGGTCTGTAATACCGCTACAAAGGTATGAAGGCGGTAGAAGTGTCGATCTGCTTTTGATTGTTTGTTCAGTAATATAGAGGAGCGATTCAGTTGCGCAATCTTACCATATCATCAATATATATTAAATTTGTCTAAAAATACGGCACTATCCCTCCTACATAAACAAGTGAAAATCTCGATGGTGGAGTTATCGCGTTTGATCCGCGATTGAGGAGGTTAAGCGACGATCGCAAAAGCCGGTAATCAGATGGGTGGTTAATTTTTTTAGTGGTGCGATTTAGGACGACCACGCTTGCCCAGTACGGATTACTTGGTAGACTGATCATCCACTAAGATTACCTGTGTGTGCTTTAGCACCACCAACCATTGGGGCTTTTACGCAGGCCCAGTATGGAATGTTGGATGGATTGGAATCATCGATTAAGAATAGTCCTTTACGCAAGTCCAGTGAGGAATTTGGATGGATTGGAATCATCGAATAAGAATATGTGCTTTAGCACCTCTAATCCGCATTGGGATCACAACATGGGTCCAGTTAAAAATGCTAGGTAAATTAATGTCATCCATTAATAATATCTGTAATTTAGCACCACCAATCCTAATTGAGACCTCAACGCGGGCCCAGTGAAGAATGCTGGTTGGAATGGTGTCATCTATTAAGAATATCTGTGATTTAGCACCTTCAATCCATACTGTGCCTACACGCGGGCCAAGTTAGGAATACTGGGTGGTTTCATCCATTGAGAATATCTGTGCTTTATTGGCTCCACTCCGCATTGGGACCTACACTTGAACTCAGTAAAGAATGCTGTAGATTGGCTTGATGCTGAAGTAGTTAACCCATTTGATCTGCGATTGCGGAGTTTAAGCGACGTTTGTAAAGGCCGGTAATCGGATGGGTAACCAAACTTTTTTACATGTTACTAAGTAAATGTGCGTGGCGTATACGACAAGAGAAGAAAAGAGCGAATAACCGCCATGCCGCTCCGCCAAATAAAAAAGTTTGATCCCCATTCCATTGGTGGTCTTTGCGAACGTCGCTTATTTTTCGCAATCGCGGATTAAATGTACTAACTATTGTATGTACATATAGGAGAAGAGAAGAGAGCAAAACCCAGCCACACCTTGCAGCGACTCTTTCATCCCACTTCGCTCAGTCAAATAAAAGAAATAGATCACCCATACCATTACTAGCCAAAAAAAGATCACCCATCTTCACAATCTTCAGATCTCAAATCTAATCAAAAATATATTTAATTTAGAAAAAGTTGTTTGATATACGGATCTTTAATAAATCGGTCGAATTAAACATATCAATTTAAATCAACGAACGATTCGATGTCGGTCGAGTAAAGAATCTAAGTTAACCCCAATGAGGAAGTATTTAAAAAAAAACATTAGTTCCCGAAATCAAACTAGATGTCTCTACGGTACTTCGGGTTTTCTAACATGTATAAAAGTTAATTTGTTTTCAAAACTCAATAAACAACTCATATTCTATTTGTAGTTGTCGTATTTGTATTGATATTTAAGCTTCGAACTTGGAAAATTTCAGTTTTTTAATATGTTAGTTAAAAGGAACTGAAATTACTATCTTTAGTACATTCGTTTCCTGCAAAATCAACTTTTGATAGAGTCGCCATCTAGTGGAGGAGCTTTTGTAGTGCTTTATTATTTTATAAATATGTCTTTCTTACATAAGCTAACTTCCAGTACTAATCCCATTAACATCGGTGAAGTCGATTCAGAGATTAGTCAGAACAAACAGATAAACAAAAAATGTAAAAGAAAAAAATTGTATATGTACCGTGTATACATACAAATGTATTTAGGGTAAAACAGTTGTTTTAATACAAAAATGCACTTCAATTCCATTTATTTGTATGTGTATTGAGAAAAGAAGTACCTTGCTTTATTTATTTTAGGTAAACTTAAATAGTTAGTTATCAACATTAAATAAATCTGACACACATTTCTTGTGGTCGAAGCATATTGTAATATAGAACAATTATAATATGAAAAATTCGAGTATCTTATTTGGATTTTTTAACATAGACATATATTTCATCTTTCTTATACAATTATACTTATTTCTAAGGGTCCTTCGATCCATGCTGAAAATAACGAAATGTTTATTAGAAATATTTCAACAAGCTATACCTATACAGTCCATATAAAACAAACAACAATAGGAGTTATACTTAAGTGATCAAAGTTGTAAGTCTCACTATATTATTCTATTGACGCTCGCTCGAACGTACCTCGATATAAAAAAGCTTTAAAATTATAAAATGTTTATTCCTTATGAAATAATAATTATTCTGGTATTGTTGTTCAATAATATTATCGGAGATAATAGAAATCACATTTAACTGCAAGCAATTTTTTAATGTAATTTGGTTTATATGTTTTTTTTTTTAATTATTCAATTAGTGCTATTTCAAAATTTCGAGGCGCACTTCGAATTATACGACCATATAAGTTGTAATTCTTTAGAACAGTAGGTCAAACCAGGAGCCCAAAAAAGTGTCTTCGCGCATTTAATGAAAATCTTTCTATGCTATTTTGGGTTTAATTAAAAAGATAAGCAAAATTTTCAAAAAGTGAAGATTATGTATATTAATATATTTTTGTTTCCGAGATCGACAAGGCCAAAATTGACCATTATACGCAAAAATTACAATTGAGATGTAATAGGGCTCTTAAATGTAAAAAAACAAACTATGAAATCTTTTCTCTTTATAATATTAGTACATATAGCTTTTCATTTGTGTCATGGGTATTATCAATAAAAGAAAAGCGGGTGATAAAATGTAGTGTAACTAAACTAGCCGGAAATTTCATTTTAGTTTATCTTTTTTGTAGTATATTAAAATGTTGTGCCAAAAATGCCAACGACGTCTACGAAGTTGTGACGGGCTAATGTGTGAAACTTGCGGATCAAAGTTTCATTTGAAATGCGCCAATGAAACATTGAAAGACCTTCGAAATTGTGGTGATAGAGCTTATCACTGGAACTGCGCTCTATGTCAAAATTCTGATATGAAGATTTCTATGAAAGAAGACAAGACAAATGGAACGATGAAGGAAGACAATTTACTTAACGCAATTAACGCATTGAGTGAAAAATTTGAGTTGATCAATAAAATACAAATACCAAAGTTAAGTAATGAATTATTACACCTTAAATCTGTTACCGATTGTATTGTTAAACAAAATGAATGTATACTACGAAAAATTGATGAACATGACGTTCAACATAAGAATAAAAAAAGAAACTTGAAGAGTTCGTCACAAAGTTTACGCAAAAGAAATATTAACTTGTCATCAAATATGAAGTGTAATGAGAAGAGCGATAATGTTCCAATATTACCTGTAGCGGAAAAGACAGTCCGATTTAGGCCGCGAAAGAGATCGTATGTGTTAAATAGACTATTTCATTTATTAAATAGGAAATTATACCAAACAGCATCGCCTAGAAGAAGCGTTTAACAGTTTGTACCTAAGTAGATAGTTATTTTAAAATTTATAATAACAAAGTGGCTATTTTTTACATCTTGAGTTTCTCTATCTTTTACTGAAGTTGTATTTTGTTTCCCTACATTGATATTTACAATAAGACAAAAAAAATATTTTGATACTGAAGGTATTAATTGGTTGATGATTCTTATAAGTAATATCATAACCGTCAACTCACGATTTAAACAGAACTTGTTATACCTTCACTAGTTTGATTTGAATGAGTTTAATGAATTTGAAATTTTAGGTATATTTTTATAGTATAATTTTAATAGTTAATCATATGCAATACACCTGTTTTGTCACCAATTTTCAGCAAAAATTTAAGAAACATTTTAGTGATTTTTTTGGGTCTGCAAAGATGGTTTGTTTGATTCTGTATGATGACGATAAGACCTCCCTTTTGTCATTAAAATATAAGAAGTGTCGCAGCCCGCGATCGTTATTGCTATTAATGTTAAATCGTTTAAAGATTCCTAAACTGTCCTCTATATCCTTTTCTGCCTGGGTCGGAATCCGCTCACTTGTATTCAACTCGATGTTGGCAAAAGTAGGGTTCCGAGAGGCTATCTCTACATCCAAGTGGCATCACGTCACGTCTTTCCCGGTGGAAGGCTTCACCTTTTCAGTCATAATTAATTAAGAGTAAACCAGAGATTTTAAACAAAATAAACAATAAAAAATGCAACTGCAATGGATTTCTGTTTCCTAATTTTTGATCTTCATTATTGCTTTCAACGTAAACGGGTAATCCTTCAATGATGGTGCTTATCGCGTTATGAACTTCTTTTTGTTTTATAAAAGGTTGATACTTCCCTCTATCCCTGGTTCCTTCGCTGTTCATGTTTTTATCAAATTTACGTTTGCGCATCCGAGGAATTAGACTTTCCTCCCACGTCATCCCTCATCGATTCCATTGATCAATATAGTTGTAGTTTCGATAAACAAGAAACAAATAATTAAAGTAATTATTCAAGAGCTTGCGTTTTCAATTGTCACCAATAACCGAAATATTTATTTGTGTATTGTAGGTGGTCTAGAAAATGTAATATAATTCGTTATTTTTTTGATATAGGGGAGACTGAGGACACTTGATCCTTACGGGAGACTAGATACAATGGATTTCCAGAGCATCTGTAATCATTATATAACTTTAGACTGGCAAAATTTGTAGTCTTTGGGTAGTTCTCCATTTCTAAAGTTAGCACTCCTCTAAAATTTGAGAGTTGTGCAAATGGCGGATGTTTATGTGTTTCGTGTTAAAGAAAAATATTTTTTGTATGTTTTTACTTTGATTAAATAATTGGTTAGTAAACTTATTTTGGATATGTATCACTTTTAAACTAGTCGTTATCTATGTGAGTAAACATCTGTTTTATAGAAAAGTGTTAATAATGGTAGATTTTTGTATAATCTTTTTTTATAACCTCAACATACCTAGGGTACACATGGTACACTTTGTCATGGGAGATATGATCCCACCGGATCAATGTCTCCTAACTTTTTTAAAAATATAATTTTAGGATTAAATATGCATATACATAGAGTTATCATTAGATGTACCCGAAGCCACTAGCTTGTCTCGCGCCACAGCTTTTAACAGACACAACGTTAAAAATTTCTTTAAAAATTTGAAAAGCTTATTCCAGCGCTATAATTTTGGTCCCGACCAACTTTGGAACGTAGACGAAACTGGTATTATTACAGTTCATAAGCCAAAAAAAAAATATAGCATGTACTTCGTAAGTTTCAAGAAAAAGCTTGTTACTGAAAAATAAAACAAAATGTTACTGGCTGTTATTTTTTTATCGATTTGAATTTGAAATATTAACTTTTAGTTTATTTGTATCGCAAATTTAATTGTTTGTTGATGGGGGTACGAAACAATTTTGTCCAACTGTCATTTTACTATTTAAGGCGGGAAAAAAACCGATGCAGATTTTTCGCGAGATAAAAATTTTCCCGTAAGCCAAGAGACTATTATTTCGCGCGTTTCAGTGAACAGAATACTAAAATATAACCTTAAGGTTGTTGTTAAGAGGCCTATAGCCATAGGAAAGTTAACTTTTTAAAAGATCGCCTTCGTTAGTTACGACGCAAACTTTTTCCATTACTGCTGAGGAGACACGATGCCAGGAAGATACTCTTCGCTGTCGAGTAAATTTTTACTATCAAAGAAAAGTCCAACCGATAAAACAATAAAAAGTACGCTAAAATAAGCAAGGATGTCCCAGCTTCTGCACGGAATGTCTCGCGTACTCATCATCCGGCTAGTGTGATGGTATGGTGGGGAGTTATATATAAATGCTATAGGTACCTTCCACCATTTACTACTAAGGAAATAAATCAATGATATTGAAATAAAAATATTAAATTTTTAACATATTTTTCATTTTCTTCTGTATTGGCATCTTATGATCCTATATGTGGGAGACTTGTTCCTCCCAGGATCAAGTGTTCCACATAGTGGGGATCAAGTCAGACATATACATGGGACATTTGATATCATTTTCTGTACGAAGTTTTCATACGCTGGTTACTTAATTTTTATACCGATATCATTAGCTACTACACTTAGTAAACAAAAGGGGGGATCAAGTGTCCCCAGTCTCCCCTACCCATATCAAAAAAATAACGAATTATATTGCTTGGGTATGGGTAGTTGTAACAAGAAGTATATTTTTTTTATAATATTTACATTAAACTGCTACTCAAACTATACGAGGTCGTATATTTCATAGACGGTTCGTAGGTAACTATTATAGATTAGCATAACACGTGATATGCATTTATAAACAACACCAAATTCAAAACATATTGGATGAAGTACTGCGGTGGAAACATAACACGTGCTATGCATTGTAAGGAGAGAAAAAAACAGTGGTTAGAATATTTTTGAATGGATCCTGGTAGACAGTTGGTACATATTCCCTTTATTAGGAATCACATCATTCACAAAAGTTATATAGATTAAAAGTTACTTTTGAAGAAAAAAATAAGGAAAAATATGGTTATTCTGTATGACGACTAAATATGTATTTTATAGGCTTTATTATATAAATAAACATAAATCTAAAATTAAAAAATCCTGACAGTTTCCAAATTTTTCTAATGTTATGGACGAAACCAGAAAATATTGAATTGTATAATCATCCTAGTGCAAATAGCTACGCATGGACTATTACTAACTAATAAACGAAAAAAACCGAGAGCATCAAGATGGCGGAACCAAACTCCCAAATTTGTAACTTTACAGGAAGAATGAAAATCATAAATTGCTTAATATCTCGCATTCTATTACTATGAGAAAATGTTATCGATGTTAATTGAAATTATCTTAATACCTTATCAAAAAATCTACTTTCTGGATAGTAGTTATAATATATTGGCATATTTAAGGAAATAATCACAAAAAGAATGATATCAAGTACGATTCTTTAAATTTTGACTGTTAGTAATGCTACCACTCCATTAGCAGGTAGGTATTTCCTGAAACTAAGAACATTGCAATAAATTACCCACCGTGATAGTTTTCGCTGTATCTGGAGATCTATCTCATTATTAGTTGTAATAGCATTTTACCGCTTAAGTAAATGTTCAGAAAACTTTTATATGTACTCTGTACATTTTATAGAAACTATTTATGTAAAGAACTACCGTGAATTCAGCGGTGTCATGATTATAATCAGTCTCAATTTTGTTTTACATTTTACTTAATTTTATGAAATCTATTATTTTTCTGCTTTTGTTATAAAAATCATTTATAACACATATATTTAAAGAAGGCAATTTATAAACCAATGAAAACTTAACAACAGAAGATTATTTTAATATTGCATATAGGTACTGATAAAATAATTATAAGTAAATTATATAATGACATCGTTGCACGGTAAGTGAATAATCATTTAACGGTAAGTAAATTTTTTATAGACTTAATTTTCTGAATTATAGAAAAAGATATCTGTCTCATTGGCTTGATAACTTGTTTTTTTTATCTTAATCTCCTGGTGAAATCTTGTGGCACCCAGGTGACACCAAGATTATTCGGAAATAATAATAATAATAATTTTGTAGTAGCCTTTACTTAGTACCTTTACATGATCCCTGCCTACATACTGAATAGTTGAAATAGACTACATCTAATGATATTCCTTCCAAGTCTCAACTCTAAGTCCTCGTTACCTTCATTATTGCACAGCAGTCTCTACATGACATGTCGCCACGATATTTGCCCTCTATCATTGATTCTCCTGCGCAATATTTATTTAAAATTATGTTTTGGACATTTATTCAACAATGTGTGATCTCTGCAAACAACATGACACATATAGAACAAAATCTGTTTAGTCATTAACAAAAGCAATGAACTCCAAAATTACCTTTTTATATTTAAAATAAAATATAAACTAATGATTTTAAGAGTCGTAACTAATAAATAAAATCATTATATACAAATTCATTATAAGCACTGCAATTGGAACGCCAGGGCCATATTTTAACTGTTAAAACCAGTGTAACTGTGATATAGATGGAACACTTTCAATTAGGGATTTTCTTATTTATTAGGGAATTGCAGGTCATTCTTTGGACCCAAAAATCCACGTATTGCAAATTCTAAAAAAACACTCGAAAATACTATATGGAAAAAAATCGACATACACCATTAATAAAAAAAATGTAGACAATGATCTGATGTTTATTTAGTTATAATTGTTCGTTGGTTAATTTGATTGATGATTAGCTGTGATTCCTTTTTTGTATGGTTTCTACGAAAGCGGAAGGTACAATGTAGTCAATTTGTCTGAATCTACCGTGTGTCTATATATATAAAAACCGGAGGCCGAAGCGTCATTATCATTTGGTTTTCGCTTTCAACAACGCGGCCCGTCATATTGTTGCTTATTAAGCGATTGTTTTATGAGAGATATCAGTATGGTGTATTATGAGTTCTTACGAACAAGGTTCGTTTTAAGTATTGTAGTTTTATTGTTATTTCATAGTGCGACTTGTGAAATAGACCCAGTAATAAATACACCGCTTGGACTTATACGAGGATATCATATGAAAACACAATCAGGCAGAAGTATATCTGCATTCACTTCGATACCATTTGCCTTACCTCCTGTTGGAAATTTGAGATTCAAGGTAAGTTGTTGTAGTAAATAAAAAATGTAATAGTTGCATATTATAGTTTCTTCCGGACCGCTAATGCCGATGCTGATGTAACCTTAGATGTATAGAAGAGAAAGTCGCTGTGGATTGTATCATATATGCTAAGCGAACAAATGTTGATTTATTGATAAAAATTTCTGTGCTCATGTTATATATTTTATTAAAGAAACATAGTATTCAGACATTTTTATCTAGCTGATTAAATAAAAATTTGATTGTGATATGAAATATTTGGAGACATTTGGTATCAAAGTAAAAAATTCATTTGCAAATTAAGTGTGGTACATACGGTTGTTAATATGTATATAAAGTATTGTAACGGACTGTATTCTTCCGATTGACATTCTTCTATAGAAATACAATGAATTATGTGTATTATGTTGCTATGTTGTTGTCAAAAATATTTATATCTTATTTTAATTAAAAATAAAATATAAAAATCAGCACTTTAATGCAAACTCCTGACAGTCAAAACCAAGTATTTAACCGTGACCGTGAATCGAAAAACATAGAAATATAATGAAGGTCACAGGAAAGAGGTAACCAGGGGCTTATCGCCGTTTTCAAAGTTATTGCAGTACTGATAGCTATAAGATAATCATATTTGTTTCATTAAGGCATATCTTTGTTTTCTTTTAAAAGATTTTATTTTTCCTAAAAGCCACCCTTCACCCTAATTTATCTTTTTTAATATTTTCCTATGAAATAATTACCGAAGTATCGAACCTAAGATACTTATATAATCTCTGGCGCGAAGAAGACTGAATTTCGTTCGCAAATCTTAAGTTATACTTGCCAAAAGTAATATATATTGTCTAATCAAAGAAGCTTCCATATAACCTACTCCTTCCATCTTGGCTTCCCTTCACTTTAAATAAAAAACTATAAACAATCATTCCAGTTTTTATTTTTTATCGAGCTAATTTTAACGTTGCTATTCACGAAATGCTGGATAACATATTCAAGTCACGAGAACAAATTCAGGTTACACTTTTATTTTCCTCCCTTATCGCCGAAAACACCAAAATAGAAAACATTTAGATGTCTAATGTTTTTAAAATTTAATATTGATACGTAAGTTTACAAAATACTCGTTATACTGTTACTTGAGAAGTTTAATATAAACTGTATAACTACAATATTTTTATGGAGACAAAGTCAGGACTATAGTATATAGTATTTATAATGGATTTTAAAGTCAATAAAATGTAAGGTATTATTGGCAAGATATTTATATTTATGATAATAATACAACAGGTGTCAATACTTAATCTTATCAATATATTTTATCTTCTTATTTATTTTCAACTTTAATTACATATACACGATAATAACTTTCATATAGTGTGTATTTTTCCATTAATGCATTAGATATAATGTGTTGTTACTTTACAAACTAGGCTGAATGATCAGTTTTGTTTGAACTTTAGAAGTATTAAATTATATTTAAAATGTTGAAAATTATAACTCTATAATTTATAACGATTCATGTTTTACACGTGTCTTGTTAAAAAATCTATAGATCGTCGTCTGCTGCTTATAAAATATATTAATGATGATAAACAAAACAATATATCGTTTATATCTTTGCAATAGTGTTAGAAGTAATTAGTTTCTTGTCCCACTATACAGTGATGGATTTGTCAAATTACCTTTTCCATAATTGTATTTAAGTCTAAAGTCCTAACCTAAGCATAGACTACGTAATTCACATTATACAATGGACACAAATGTCTTAACAATCTAGATAATACCAAGTTATCACAGATTATCACATTTATAGTTCAGTTTCACATTTTTTTGGCAGTTTTTACTCTCATTTCTCATATTATCCAAAATATGTCAATATTCGATAAAATATTTGATAATTTCGATAAAAACCAGTTGCACAAACGTCCATTTGAAAATGACATAAGTTTAAAGCGACATTACCGACACAAATTTGACATTCATTAGAGCTCAAAGACGTCATTAAACCTTAATGGACGTTTGTGCAACTGACCGTTAGTGTATTCAATGTAAAGAGAAACGTCAGTTTGCCATAGTGACTGACTAATATTGCGTAGTTCATAATAATATTAATATAACATTGATTTTAATAATGATATTGAATACTGTATGTTGAATACTGTAATGAAATGAAAATTTGGAAGTTGCTATTAATTTACTTACATTTTTGTACAGAAAGATATCCAACTTTTTCTTGCTTTTCGCAACAAGACATTTATTTCCTGTAATGTATTCATGTGTAAAGGATTTAAATTATTATTATTAATTATCTGACAAATTAAACCAAATTGTCAACCATAGTTCAATACAAAATCTGTGTCTAGTTATTTTGTATTAATATTAATAATAATAGATGAGTCTTAAAATACCATTTTATACAAAGACGTGACAAATCAAAATGACAATTTAATAAATACATGAATGTACTGTAAATTTATGACAATCTTACATTTTGGACTTCAACTATCAAGTACTTTTACCATATTGTAACCAGATATATTCATAGTTAGAGAATATAGTGGAGTGCATTCTTCGCCATTTGTAACCGCATCGTTATAAGAGTCCTCGATATTAAGGCCTAGCTACTCGTCCTCAAAGAATACAGACAGTTATAATCTCGTCTCTATGATTCGTCGTCTTTTCATAAATCGTGGTACATAATACTGGCAATATACAGATAACAGGTTTTCCTTATTTAAATCAATAGTGCTCATAGCTATAATAGTTCAAGTCGATTAATATTTGGTTGTATATTCGTGAGCCTCCTGACAGTTTTTTTAGCACTTATACGGAAATAATACTATATCCATTATCAGACAACACAAGTAAGCAATGTCTCGAAACCGATGTGACGCAATAAACAAGTTATTAAGTTATAATATATTAATACAGTGATATTTATTTGATATCCTATAAAACGAGATTCTTATTTTAGATTTACTTTACTTTTAGAAGTACTTTCAAATTAAATAAATCGTTGTGAATTATTATTTTGTATGATGTGTCCCCGGGCAAGCCTGTTCTTGACGGTGAGAATTCGAACACCGGTGACCTTGAGCTTGAGCGTGTAAATACTACTAAGGATTATAATATACCGAACCAAAAATATACACGGTATAGCCAAATGTCGAACTGTCGGCTAGAGCCGTTTTCTTTCAATATTATAATGATTGATCAATAAATTAATGTTTTGAAATATGATGTCAGTAATTAACCAATGAGCTTCCTTACCTAATACTACATCACCATCTTAGGCTAGAGCCTAAAGGCTGATGAGGTGGTGATGATAGAGTATTAACTCTAGAGAGAATAATGATCCAATTTCGCTAAAATTCTTGTACTATTCTTTATGGTACATACCACCTGTTCAGGCTACGACGCTTGAATTTTCAAAGTTGGCTTCTGGCGCAAGAATTTGTGGATTATCTACCAAAAATTGACCAGGGGGCCAATTCTACTAAATAAATTTTGTTTAAATCACTTCAGTCACTTAGTAGAATAGAATAACCATTAAAAACTGTAGTTTCGTTCGGTTTCGATCTGTTTTCGATCCATTTTCGATTCGATTTAAACAACATTTATTTAGTAGAATTGGCCCCCAGGTATACCTGGGGGCCAATTCTATTCTATCATATCATCGTTGAACTTTAAATCATATTTAACACACAACAGTCAACAGTAGTTTCAAATGGAATCAGACCGTTTATCTGGTTTTATGTCATTAGTGTTTTTTTTTTGTCAAGTCAACTGATTCTTTCGCACATTGAATTTTAATTGGCTGACAATATTTTTGTGATTGGATTTTTCTAGACCATTGTAGTTTTCTTCGTCGTAGAATCTTTGTACCAGTTGCAATGAGACAAGAGGAGTGAAGTTAATCCTTTCGTTACCAACATCGTTTTCATCGAGTTTGTTCTTACACTGATATTCACCGTGTACCGAATTTCTATTACGGAGCGATTTAATAATTTTCTAGTTGATTTTCAGATAAAAATGTCATTTAACTGCTTCTTTATTTTCACTGTAAGAAAAACCTGAGGCTGAATACTTACATTTATTTTATTTATTTATAAAGATCTTAAATTATTATTACAGGTAATGTATGATCCGATACAACAGTTAAGCAACAAAGTTAATAAGTAATAGTACAGAATTTATTTCCAACTTCTATCTATAGCATAATATATTAAGTACAGTTTTTGAGAATTCACTCAGAAAACAACTAAATATGTCTACACTCTCAGATATCTTACTTAGTACACACGCGTAATTCATCCATCCCTAAAATGAAAAGTGTAGGATACCTTAGGGAATAAAAAGAGTACAAGTATAAGTACCTCAAGTATAAGTACCCAACAAACTTATTCTGTATGTGCTCTAACATATCGCTATATTGAATTTGATCCAAATCATTGCATTAAATTCAAGTTGACTTCGTACCAATAATCTACATACGATGGCGTTTTATTACAACATAGTCTGAAAACTCAAACCTACGATACGAAATACTAATATTTCTACTGCTAACATTATTTTGTTAAAGTATTAGTATTTTAGTAACCTTTAAACGAAAATTATATTTTTTGACTGAACTTGTTCAAGACATAGTAAGATAAAAACATTTTATAAAAAGTAGAACCGACTTTAAAACTTAAAAAAACAATGATATATACCTAATACTTATTTCAAAAGCGACTTATTAAAAAAATGCTATTAAAGTCGGGTGGAGTTTTATTGAGGTAATTAATTAAATGCTACACCCCGAAACAATTGGACTGATTTATGAGTCTTTCATCTACGGGAAGCTATGTATTCATAACACGCAGGCGAAGTTACTCGATTACTTAATTACTCGATTGTAATGAGAGCGTGATCATCGATACTTTTAATTTTATTAGAATGGTGACACTGACTTTGACAGTTCGTTTATAAAAACCAAGTTTGCGCCATTTTGGCACACATTCTGTTTCCGATCGCCGAGGAGTAAAGACATCTGATGACATCACGCTCATCTCGTTATAGTTTCGTAAGAAAAGTGATAAAATGTAACAAATCCACGTTGGTATACACGCCTGCAGTGTTATTTTAAAGATAGTCCTCCGATATGGATTATCTATTTGGGCTTCGTAATAGCCCATTCGGACTACCCGCCATTATATACTTATTAATACCTATATACTATCTTTGACTTTCATACTTCGATAAAAGTATACAATAAAGAGTAAAGTATACAAACTCGTTGAACATAGAAAATCTTTCTTTCAGATTTTGAATGAATTCTAAACACAAAATCGTTTGTTTTTAGCTGAAATCGGCCGGACATATCATCTTAATATTTAGATGATATCTGTTGGAAAGTGTATTTTGTTTGGTTATATGTAAAAGGAAAACTACTTAATCGAATTCGATAATAAAATTTAAAAACCTTGATCCATCAAGCTATCCAACAAGCAAAAAAATTACAGATTAGGCTTTCTTTTGCTTTATTTTAAATTTACTCTCTGCTACTAAACCTCGGTCAAGGCAGTGGGCCACGGCCCATTCTACTACACAGGCGCCTCTCAAGGCCCCCAGGGGCATAGATCCAGATAACCATATATAGTCACAAGTTGTTTTATTTGCTTAAGAGTCGTTTCTGTTCGGACCTATTAGTCTCCCTTTGCAGTTGTGTGACCCATTGTAGGACCCAGAAGGTGCAGTTGTGGTCCTACTGGACGATGGAGACAAATGAGTTAGAGAAAATGTCTCCCTCGCTAGCTTACAAGCTGAGTCTCGCTAGCCCGGGAACAGCAACATCTTTACTTCCTATTTGTAGGCAAAACATATTTTATTATTTTAATTTAATAACATAAAATATAAAAGCCTATATGATGTAATATAAATCAATCAATCTTTTTACAGACGGCAGATAAACACGATACTATCATTTGTCTGCTTTAAATGTTTTAAAAGATCAACTGATGCAATGTAATATATTATTTTCTGACTCCTTGGTATTATAAAAAGATCTAAAATTATTGTACTTTGACGAGTTTTTATGACCTTCATTTTTTGTATTGTATGTCATTTGTCTTGTTGACTAAGCTAATTCTTGATAGAATTTTATTATTGTATATTTATGAGTATATTTATGAGTAATGATTTTAAAAATAGATAATAATAACATATATATTAGGTAGGATAACCTGCAAATAAACCGACATATACGTGAAAATATTTTTATTACTGCATATTAAATTATTATAATGTGTGTACAGTAAAGTCCTTTATAGCTGAGCCTATCAAATTATTCCTTGTGATTATTTAGGAGCGACACTAAAATTATGCTAAAACATTATTTCATATGCACAAAGAACAATGGCTCGTTAGATATACGCACCAAAATTACAAGAAGGTTAAATAACTTTGTATTGTTTTACTATAACAAAGAACATAAAATCTTACTGGGTCCAATAAATAAAAAAAATCAGGAAAAATATTAATGTAATTTCAATGTGTAAAAGAAGTATATTGATATTATACATGTTTTTAAATTTACAACACATGATAACTTGACTACTCAAGTTATGCTTTAGTAGATGTTTAAAAAAATCATCATGTTATCATATAGGTACATCTGCTACAACATTAGATATATTATTACAATTTTATTTATTGAAAGAAGGTAAGCATAAATAGTACTCCATGACAAGAGAAAAGTAGACGAAGATATTGATATTGCATGACATTTATGATCAAGATTCCAGCTCCGTTTAGGTGCAAAACTGTCAGCTTCTCAAACTATAACTAATCTAATGCGATTGGAAACGATATGGTTGATGGATGTAATTAATTATTGTTTACAGGCACCTGTGCCCGTTGAACCATGGTCCGGGGAACTAGATGGGACAAAGCAGGTTCCCGCTTGTATTCAAAGAAATCCTTATATACGACAAAAAGAGATTGTGGGACAAGAAGATTGTTTGTATCTTAACGTTTACACACCGTACACAAGTAATGTGAGTTTACAAGACGTCGGCCTGACTTTGCTTCTACTAAATAAAAATATAGATCAAGAATGTTATATTTTAAATTATCACCAAATAGAAGTTATATTACCATTAACCATTAATAACTGTCGATTCTGATTTCTGACTTCCAAATTTAATTATTTTTTATTTTAATTATACTTATTTCTTCGTTAAGAAGTCATTATTATTATGCACGTTTCTTCCCAGTGGCGGCTAACTGATATCAATGTAATGAGACATTAGCAAATAATAAGGTGATCAGGAAAAAACGTTTACGCTAAATATAATCTAAATTACATAATATTTTAAATTGTATAGAACTATATGTGAACAAAACATTAAAAGAATGTCTCTAGTAAATATAGTTAACGTTCGAGTATCTAGTACTTATAGTTCTTGTGCCCGTTTTTATAAAAATTGCAAAAGCATAATTATAAAAAAAAATATTCTTTTGTAACAAATGTTTGGTGCGTTTGTTCTTAATACTGTTGTTAAATCTACTATTATTTATCATTTAGTACTAAATGTGTTTTGGTATTTAGTCTTTTCAACACAAACAATTTTCTATTCTAATCAATATAAAATGAAACGACTATTTCTAATCATACTATGATTGAAAGCTCCGTTTTTCTTTAAATAGATTATAAAATAAAGAAACAATATCTAAATGACCACAACCTAATATTCCAGAAAATTTTTAGGATTTGCTGGAAATAACTAAACCTTTACCGGTTATGATGTTTATTCACGGTGGAGGTTGGATGTGTGGAGATTCCACCACTGAGATGTATGGCCCAGAGTATCTGTTGGATCATGATGTTGTTCTCGTTACAACCAATTATAGACTGGGTATACTTTCACTTAACACTTTTTATTGTTAAGCACAAAAATCACAATCAGACCTTGCATAATCTGTTATAACATTACAATTTACAGGTCCCCTTGGTTTCCTTTCAACAAAAGACGAGCATTGTCCAGGCAACAACGGTTTGAAAGATCAGCAAGAGGCTTTGAGATTCATTAGAAAAACAATAGAGAGTTTTGGCGGTGACAAAAATTCTGTGACTATATTTGGTGAAAGTGCTGGTGGTGCAAGTGTCCATTACCACATGCTATCTAAAACAAGTGCAGGTAACGAAACACGTAGAACATTATTTTTTACTTGTGGTTAAATCTAACTAGAAAAGCTTAATCGGCTCATGGTACCGCCATCTCTTAGGTCAAGTCAGTCATGGCAGATGGAGAAAGCTAAAAAAATTATCTGGTTCTGCTCGTTGTTTGTTACCTATGTTTATAGAAGAGCATTAACTGCTTTGCTATATAATTCCAATCTTCTAAAACTACTGTATACATAGTATCACTTTATTCTACTAACCGTATTCAGTAGAGCTATTTTGTGGGGTACTTACAAAAATATTACATTATCAGTATTATTAATAAACAAGGTTTAGCGTTGGAATAAATTTACGCTGAGACTGCACTTAGTATTAGTCAAAATTCATTTTATTAGAGATTTAGCAAAGGTTAACCTAATACGAGTTTCTACGGGAGTAATTTTTACTCCTAGGAGGTAGTAGGTTTGCTTGTTCTCTGTATAATATGAATTTGGACTGATACTAAAATTGCAACATTGTTTATTAATAGCACTGTAAGAAAGTACAGGATAGGGCTTGAATATTTTAATAAAAGTCCTGACTGACTTCTATTCAAGTATGACGAAATTAGAAACATAAATTTAAACACAAGGCATTCAGTCCGCCTTTGTACTATAGAGTAGTACAAAGGCGGACTGAACATAAAGTATTAAACTGAATCACTTATTTATCTATTGCGAAATCTATGAGTATAATTTCTTTGAAAATGATTTGGAAAAGTTGTACTTTTATAGAAGTTAACATAGCGGTTTGAAAATTATGCAAACCCAGCGGGTAAAGTTGTTTTAAATCATACTTACGAGTACTTTAATATATGCATTTGTCCCATTTCTTCATCATAAAAAAATGTTTTTTTCAGGATTGTTTCATAAAGCGATATCGGAGTCAGGAACGGCTATGGTCCCTTGGGCAGAGCAGTCTCCCGGAGAGGCAGAACGAAACGCCTACCTTCTTGGAAAATTCGTTGGATGTCCAAATGAGGACTCAAAGTCTCTTATTGAATGCCTCAGAACTAAAGATAGCTACGACTTAATCAATACAGAATTCCAATTTTATGTATGTACCAATTTATTTAATTTATGCACTATATATTGACATCGTAATGTCACTTGTTAATGATGGTGCGATTCATAGATCACAAAAAATTAAAGCGTAGGTTTCGGATGGGTACTGGATAAATAATTAGGTGACGAATCATTTACATCATAGCAGGATTTCGCAAAAAAAAGAGACTAAAACGAAATATATGTTAATATTAACAAAATCCTATTAGTTAGTGATTTTGAAACTTTACTTAAATAAGGTACAATGAATCCACCAGTGGTACCAGAGAAAAAGAATTAGGATTATGTATATTTTCTTAATCATTTTTAATATTAACTCTTTTTCTCTTTTTAATTTTTTTTATTATTTTGTACACATATTTGATTTACATCATTTTCAGAAATGGGATTATGAACCTATGACACCCTTTAAAGCGGTTGTTGAGCCTGACCTTCCGGGTGCTTTCCTAACTAAGCATGTTCGACAAATTAATGGAGACATTTATTCTGTGCCTTGGTTAACTGGTTTAACCGAAAATGAAGGATGCTTAAAATCAGTTTGTAAGTGAAATACAGCATAATACATTCATTCCAACGAACTTTTAAAAGTAAAAATTGTAATTAATTTGTGTTTTATCAATATTAGATGATGATAATTTGATTTCAGGGATAACAACAAACGAGACTAGATTCCAAGAATTTATGGAGAAGTTCAACATGATCGCTCCTGTCACTTTTTATTATAATTCAGCCCCAGAACAAGAAAAAATAACTAAGATCATTCAAGACTATTACCTCAATGATCCAAACCTTGAAGCCATCAAACAGGGTATATTAAACGTAAGCTATATTTATTTCGTTTAAGATAATTTTAAAATAGGTCTTAGCAAATATAACAAATAATATTCACGTTCAAGTAACATTGATATCGATTACTCAGTGGAGGTTGTGAACAAGCAAGTGAACCTCAACCATGATTATTTTTTCCCCATTTATTTCGATATCTGTCACCCGGATCGATAACTCATGTTTAAGTTAGGCACAAATATAATATAATTATCATCTACTATGCATATAATAGAGAATACAAGAAATAAATACTTATGTAATCCTGAGCGGACTCATCACCACAAATAGCACTTGTTCACGAGCATATAATACATAATTGATTGATTGATTATTAAATAATTGTAATAATATACAGACAGTTTTTCTCGAATCTTTTCCGTTAACTCATTATCGATATGTTTCACTTTTTTACTATTAAAGTGCAGTAAATTAATGTTATTTCATAATAAATTAGTATATGTCCAAAGAGCGATTTCCCTTCTCTGGCAGGCCTGCAAATTTTCCTGTTCAGTGATCATTTTTTCTAAATTCTTTACAATGCTATTTTGATTTAAAGTTACTTTTTATTTGTAGATTTATACTGATTGTTACTTTGCATATCCCATGGTGGAAGCTGTGGCTGATGTACTTAAACATGGAAGTTCTCCTGTGTACCTGTATGAGTTGACTTATAGAGCTACTAATAGTTTTTCACAAATATTCGGCGATCCTGAAGGAAATTATGGTATCAATTATTTTTATGTCATTTGTTTTAATCTAGCATATTAAAATGCATTTTTTTTATGCATTTTAATAAGCTAGATTAAAACACATTTTTTATTAATTTACCATTTTTCGAATGTTTTAGTATACCTTTATTAATAGTAAACAATTTTTTATTTGCTTGACTGTTAACAGGTGTGTGTCACGCCGACGATTTGATGCATCTTTTCCCGATTAGTTTTTTGACAAAGCCTTTTTCTGCTAAAGACAAAGAAGTCGGAAATCTCATAAGAGCTATGTGGACTAATTTCGCCAAAACAGGGTAAGAAATTATACATGAAATGAGTGAAAATAAAGTCCAAATCATTTTACCGGATCCGACCAACGATACTTAGTTTTTGTTAATAGTGAATTCATTGGAATATCGAAGCAAATTACTGGGGATTTAAAATAATAGATGTATATGGTTGAATCCTATGTTTCTAGAACTGTAATAATAGCATATTTTTGACAAATACTGATATAGTTTAATAAAAGTACAGACACATTCTCCTCTTATTTGTAAAACCGGATTTTTCAAATTAGTTTTTTGAATTTTTTTCACAGAAATCCCAATGAACCAGTCAAAATATCAACCGAATGGAATATGGCTTCCCCCGAATTCGATTATTTGGATATCGGAAATGAGTTAATTATGAAGAAGAATTTGGGATCACGTTCGAAACTTTGGGGATCGTTACCTCTTTGGTATAATAAACATGTAAATTATAGACATCCTGATGAATTATAAAATTGACTAAGAATATATAAATAAGAATTAAATATAGTTACCTATTATACCTAATAGTTATCTAATGAAGAAACAATGAATCACGATACATATTCAAGTTTGCATACCAACTATAAGAAAACTGTAAAGATGTAAATGCTGAATCATGCATTAGATGCAAAAGAGAAAAAGCATTAGGGCGCTTGTGCACTACACTGAATTTTCAGGTCCGGCGGTCCGATTTTTTCCGGTCCGGAATGACATGAAAAACTCGGATGAGTAGCTTGTGCACTTGTCCGTTTTTTTCCTGATCGAAGCGGCGCAGTGTAGGACAGCCCTCTTTGAAGCTACACGTCACTTACGCTAGGTACGATGAGATTTTTAGAACGTCGGTAATTCCGTTAGAAGACGTATAAAGGTGCCTAAATAATGATCTGATCGTTTTACATAAACCATAATAAATTATGGCAAGACGAAAGCATTTTTTACTACTATCGGATGACTACTATCAGATGTAAAAACTTATACCCTTACTAATTTAGGAACAGCATTATTCACATACAATAGCTAAAAATATCTGTGACATTAGAATAAAATTACTGATAATGGTCTAGTACTTGATGTTTAAATTTTTAAACCTGTTATTTTTTTCGAAGTTTTGTAAAAACAACTTTCAGCGATTACTGAGATAGACCAATCGGTGGCGCCATTTCGTAAACAAATCGAAATTAGTGCCATGTTAGCGGAGAATTATTATGCTAAATGAACTTTACGAGATCAGTTGACTGTTTTATATATAGGCATAATTTTATACGCGTGGTGTAGTTACTTTGAGCAGAAATATAATCCCCTTAGAATACTTTTTTTTAATTTTATTAATGACACAAACATACATTTAAAATTTTATTAAATGCGAAAAAGATATTGAGTGTCACTTAATTACTTTTGTTAATCTTCTGTTTATTCTTTATTATTACTTCTGTTGTCAAATATTTATCTATACTTATCAATTGTCTAAAAAAAATTTGATAATGACAAATTTCCAGGCAAACTTTCATCCCCTATTTTTCGCGATAAAATGTAGCCTATGTCCTTTCTTAAAATTAAGTCTATTTACTATATTAATTTCCATTAAGATGGGTTCAGTTATTTAGGCGTCTAAGCGTAACAACACTTATTAATCTTACCTTAAGCTATCGATACTTTAAATAAGATTCTAAAATCTAGCTAAGTATCGATACTAGAACCATACGCTGATCAAATTAGAACTATACCGAGTTTGCCAAAGCTTATGCAGTGATATATACCAACTATATTAAATCATCATATAAAATATAGCATTTTATAATCAACAATAAATATCGATTATAAGTTTATTGGAAATTAACAATATTGCCGAAATAAATATCGATTCAAATCGATTATTTTTTCCCAAGCCTATTCCTTATGAATTTTCCGGATCTCGGACACAGCAGTGCACAAGCGTAAACACGTTTTTCATTGCCGCCATCACGGACCTGAAAAAACCGGTCCGGAATAGAGAAAAGTAAAATTCCGGACGGTAAAATTCCTGACAGTGCACAAGCGCGCATTACCTACATAGGGCCTGACATATCGGACCTGAAAAAATCGGACCGCCGGACATGAAAATTCCGTGTAGTGCACAAGCGCCCTTATGCTCAAAAAGGAATATATAATAACTGCAGCTCCTGTAGAGTTACAACTGTTTCCCGTTCAGTGTACAGGTCTTTCGTTATCACGGATGAATAACTGTGAAGATCGATAACAGAGCTGGAAAATAATAATACTCTTTGGAGCTGGGCCTATTTCATTGCTTTCGCCATCATTTTTCGTTTTCGATTATCGTAAAGAATTCTCTTTTCGTTACAGTCACATTTCGATCCAATATACCTTCATTTTAATTCTTATATTAACTCGATACGACACGGACTCATGATCATTATTTGATTTAATTAGTAAAAGTGCCATCTATCAAAATGTTAACATAACTACTTTCAACCGACTGCTACGATGGTGCCGCCGCCACCGTTGCGGCCGTAAGCTGCACTTCTTACAGCTTATTCTCAATAAAAGCAGAAGTCATTTGTATATGTGTAAAATTCATGCAAGTGTTGCGGTTTTGAGAAATCATCAAAAGAGTAGTGTTTGCGCAAAGGGACTACCTACTTTATTTGGCTGGTGTATAATTTAAAAAAATTTTTCGCTTTTCGCAAACGAATTGATTACTTTTCACAAGTGATTAAGTTGTAAAATCATTAATCAATCTAATGACGTGATGATTTATTTACGTGATTTTTGGAAAATACTGCTCTTATTGTTCTGTGTCATTTTTGTTGTCTTTTGTCGTTGAAAAATTTAAAAATTGTAGATTTTAATAAAAAAAAAACATAATATTACTCGTTCTTTAATTGAAAGTGCTATGATGATTATAATTGGCTAGCGTTTAACATATACTACAAATAATTTAAAACCATATTTCCTGAAGTTTACAAATGGGCAAAATTAATAGTTACGATACAAGTGAGTAGCCAAGTTTTAAAACTACCTTGTCATTTTTACGATGAAAAATTTAAGTATTATAAAAAAGATAGGCACGTTAATTTAACTTATAAAAATTAAGGGATTGTTCAGATCGATACCAAACGTTTTATCGGCTGCTGACTGTTTACGTGAACAATGTCCAAAATAATAGGTATATTAACAGTTCAGTTGTTCTTACTATTTCGATAAAATAAAAGTATTTTGTGGTAACTTATAAACAAGTTACATTTCGATGTTCTTGGTGATTGGTGACCAAAAACATATAAATGATCATCATCCTGTTGATCATCAAGTTTTTTTTAATATAGGTAAATGATGCATACCCTACCCCAAATCTCTGTGCACGCCCCTGGCTGCAGATCAGTCAAATAATGAGGCATTCATTTTGCATATGTTTTTATGTTTTGATTTGAAGCTAGGCATGTGCGCCGATGCCGAAATCTTCGGCGGCGGCGTGGAGCTAAAATTTCAGTGGCGGCGGCGTAAATGGCGGCGTAAACGGCGTCGTTATGTCAAATGGTGGAAAATTTAAATAATTCAGAATGCCTTTATTGACATAACAAATATAAAAGCTACTTAAACTAATAACACCTTTTAAGTAACAAATATGGCACAACTATACTCTTCAAAATTATGTAACGTAGTCATAATGATGTTAAATAACAATATGAAGGTACTATTTTTTTCGATAACTTTTTGCCATCATGTAGGTGAACATGATCCCATTGCTATAGAAATTTTGGGGCGTCTAATCAAGGAACCGCGTCAAGTTGTTTTGACAATACACGCGTGACGTTAACTGGAAACTGCCTAAAAAATTCTGTAGAGACCTAAACAGGTGGAAATCTGAAGGTGCAAGGTCAGGACTATACGGCAGATGTATTAACACCTTCCAGCCAAACTCTTAATTTATTTAAAAACCACTCCCTTTCTATTGATTAATTCTGGCCGCTTTCTCTCAACTTCTTGCTTTAATCTCATCAGTTATTCGCAGTAGAGTTCAGAATCGATGATGCTGCCTGACGGTAACAGCTCATAATTAATAATACCCTTGCAATCCCACCATACAAACAGCATCACCTTTTTGCCAGCTAACCCGCATTTTGCCATAGTCTAAAAAGACCACGATTTTTTTCGCATGTTCTTGTCGTACGTGATCCAGTTTTTATTACCAGTTAGAAAAACAAATGAAAATCACATATTTTCTTAATTTGAATTCGAAATCTTCTTTAAAATTTGAACTTTTTAATAATACCGCAAACAGCCATATAGAAATGGTATAGCCAGAAAGATTTTATTACAACTTTATGAATACTATATACGAAAAGACTTTTTCCCCAACCTAATAGTTATCACGTATAGAAATTATTTTATTGATATTATTCCCAGTTAGACGCAATCGTTTAATCGTTTTAGTAAGGCCAGCTACAAAGAATACATGTTCGCTAGGTGTGCTTGCAGCGGGTTAGCTAGAGTAGACAAATAAGAGTAAGTATTGAATTTTTTATTTCTGCCAACTTTATCTTGAAAACGAGTGCTATATTAATTGTTCAAGATTGACAGCTGTAATTAAAGAATAAAGATTCGATTGTTTATTTGTTTGCATTTGTTCATTAACTTTACTTTTGCATTCATTAAAATTTTACTAAATATGGAAATACGAAATGGAATTAACACGTGCCGCACAGAATGCACTATGTTGCTTAGCAACCGAGCGAACGAATGTTACTCGCAGTTCGTGTCATACCGCGCCGTTTACGCCGGTCTTTCGAACCGGTCAGCGGCGGCGTGTCATGATCGGCGGCGTCGGTCATCGGCGCGGCGCGGCGCACACGTCTATTTGAAGCAAATCAGTCAGTATTGTATCTAAAAGGTGGTTCGACCCGGACCGGCTTCCACCATGTCCTTCAGCTTTATTCATCCGCGTGCATATCTTCTGGCCATACCTTGAATATATATACTACTCAGCGGCACATAATGTGAGTGCAATTACAATTCATATTTCATGCCCCCTATAAACAATTAGAAGCATAAAGTGCTTATTATTATCAACATTTTAATTCCAGTGATTCTAAGTTCAATTGGAAAGGAATGATAAATTTTCGCCCATTGACTTATTAGTTGATTACCCTTTTTCAATAAGGCGGAAAACAGCACGAATTTAATGTGGGCTTTAATAGCCAATACAGCAAAATCACTGTCCCGCCTATATGTGTGCAAGTCCAATAGCTTGATTGTGTTTTGCACTTTTGTACAGTTTATAGTTTACAAATAGAATGAGTACATGAAAGAAAACCGGAAGATTTGTCATAGAGAAATTAAGCAAGTATCGTAACGTCATCTAGTTTGATTTTGAGAACTAATGTTCTTTTTAAATATTTTCTCATTTGAAACTTTATGATAACTCGACTTCAAAGGTATATTTACAAATGAAATTTTTTAAAAATACGTCGAGTTCGTTATCCATTTGACGTAGTGAACTTTTGTTCTTGAGTTTATCTTTTCCCAGTATCGATACTATTTTCTATGGTCGCCTTTTAAGGAGATGCCAGCTCATGTATGTATGTTTAATTTAAAGATTCATAAATTAGGTTTTTAACTATAATAAAATTACTTATATAAAAATAAATTCTCTTGCGAAGAAAAATAAGGTTAATTAAATCCTTTTATTTATTACTAAAATATTTCAGCTATATCATATACATACTAATCTATGTGCTTAGTTTTAAAATTGTTGCCGTTATAAATTATTAATTTGCCTAGTTAATATCATTAGTTCATTAGTATATAACTAATGAATCTGATGATTGACAAATATTTTTCACATTAGAACCTGTCCACCAAACATTAAAATTATCGTAAATAGTGGTAGTCTCCATTAAATGGCCATTATTTAACATTGCACAAAAATTACAGTAGTCATCTGTCTCGGGGCTCTCGTGACGAAGATGATAGGAGTAATGATTCCTCCATTGGAAAAACTTATGATATATTTTAGGATTTCTCACAATTACATTTATTTTACCTGCTAGTTGTGCAGGTTTTAGCTGAAGAGCATTCAAATAGCTACCATCAGGCAAGAATCTGGAATAACATAAAAAACTTTATCGATCAACTTATTTGTTATATATGTATATATCCATTATTATACTCATTTCCCATTTAATATTTTTGATGAAAATAAAAACTATGAATTAGCATTTTGTTAAAATAGAACCATAACTGAACAATTGATTAGATTAAAAATATATATAAATTATAATAGTTTTTATATTCTTCTACGTATGTTCTATAAATGGTGTGTTTAATATTGTATAAACCTTTAGTTTTTTATTATATTTATGAAGACACTTTTTTGTATCCTTGTTTATTTTTCTATTAGTAAATTATAATTTATATGGGAGTGAGACTGACGTGTCTAAGGAAGTGAAATTTAAAGCATCCTTAGACAGTTTCATACTTTCATCGATAAAAATATACACTAGAAAAAATTAATTCCGCTAGGAATACAGCGTGAAGATATAGATGTATTCGAAATATTAATAAATGAAATCGTGAATTTAGTGGATTTTTGCTCGCTTTATACTTTTTTCATCCGGATATTAACTAACAAAAAATTTCTTAATATAGATACATTATTATTGTTTGTATATAATATAATTGTAATTTTTATTATATAAATTAATTATAATGAATGAACAATACCTGGAGTAGTTGGCTCCCCCGAGAACTATAGGAACTGTGTCATGTTGAAGTGCGTGTAATATTTTTTCTGTGACATAATCTTCACTAAAAGAGTTTTCTAGCGCTAGATAGAAATAATAATTTTTTTGTAGCATTTTGAGGCACCTAGGCATTTGTTCAACAGGGCAATCATATTCACCGCATTTTCCGTAAACATGGACCATAAGATTAAATTTTTTTAAACTAATTTGTAATTCTTTTACATAATCTTCTCTATAGCTGGAGGAAACACAGCTAGACGCGAACCATGCAACAGCTCTATTTTTTGTTTTAAGCTTTTTCTTTAAACTGTCACTGATTTCATCCATTTCATGATGACTAAGCCAGTACATATTTTGACTTGGTCCGATGACATGATTAGTCGCGTTACGTATAGCAAAATATCCCCACAATGCATCTGAATCTAATTTATAAGTCCAAGTCCAATTAAAAAACTCATTCCAAATCTCTGTGCATATTGGATAATTCGATGCTGATTCTATATTAGCATAAACATACTTTTGGGAAAGTGAACGCCTTAATGGTAAATTGTTAAGCGCAATCATTTGTGAAAGTTGTGGTCCATTGAATGCTATGACTTCAAATTTCGTAATATCTTCGAGAAGACTTCGGTTATTAGTTACAAAGCAATTTTTCCACTTGCACTTCTTTTTTACAAAGACGGAATTTCCTTTTTCTAAATATACAAAAGGAGATGCAGAGGCTCTTGTCCATAAAAGTATATATTTTGTTTTATTTTGGTAGTCAGACACTGCATTATTAACGTTGTATATATTTCGGCGTACCATCTGCATAGCTTCAAAATAATAATGAACATCATGTATCAAAATGTAGTTAAAAATGATAGTAAATATGATGAAAATATAGAAAACATTTCCCAGTTTCTTTTTTCTTAAAAAAGTTCGAACTGTCATATTGGATCTGAATGCAAAAGTATAATGCAATGCATCTGTTCGGTTGCAATTCATGATCGCTTAACTTAGATTTAAGTTTGTAAATAAGCTAAATATTTGAAATTCTGATCTGATTGTCTTCTTGTGTTGTTGGTAAACAATGTGTGATTGACAACAAAAAAAAAAATTCATGATTTTTCAAAATTTAATGCATGTTCGTTAGGTGAAAGTACAATTCATGAGACGTTGACACAAAAAAATTTACATTGTCCTCAAAATAAAGATAGAAGAAGATCGCGTCTAATTTCAACCCCAGACTTTCACGCTCTGATCCCAGGAGCAACTGGTGAGTGCGACGCCATTTGGGGCCAACGAAATTGACGTAACTCGGTTCTCGTGAGCATTTAGAGTTCCTGGAAAAATAATATTTTCAATTAGAAAAAATTAAAAACAAAGGTCAGCTAACTTTTGAAATATCTTTCAATTCTTTTTAACAGGTTCTTATTTAATAATACGGTTATTCCTAAACATTTTATTTTTCATCAACCTCAACCTATTAATCTTTTATAAATACTTCTTTGTTACGAACGAACCAATGACTACCAAGTGGATATAGTTTGGGTTGGTGATTACTTAGGATTGCAAATGTGTTTGTGAACAACTGTTTAATTTTTGTTTGACACTTTTAAAGCAGGCGGTTTAAAGCAGGCGGCGGCGGCATCGTCACAGTAACGCAAAATATCTATATAGCATGGAAAATCACCCCTTTCATAAAATGAAGTTTGAAAATTTTTAAACATACGATGTCTACTTATAGTCCCAGAGCTGGTGACGAATTAGTATCGGCTCATCCTATTAATATTATAAATGTGAAAGTTAGTATACAGATAACCCCATACCCATAAGCTGAGTTAGATAATAGGATACTTTTTATCCCACCAAACAATTCCCTAGATACCACACGGGCGAAGCCGCTGGCGAAAGCTAGTAACTTACTATGACGTAGTATAAGACAGCATCCACTTGCAAGTTTAGGTAGTGGACCGACTGGAGGCGACATTCTTTGATATATTTAAAATTACAACATCAAAATCGTTTATTCAATCTAGGCTATTAAATAGCACTTGTGAAATTCGGAAACTACGCCAACGGTTCGCAAAAGTACGGCGGGAGACCTTGGAATGAGAAGAACCGTCAAGAAACTCGGCAGGGGCTGCTTTTTACTCCCTGTTTTATTTAATATAGAGAAATCTTATTGGAGAGTGAGTTCATTAGACTATGAAGTCACTTTTCATTACAAAATCAGAAATAACAAGTCAGATATTTTCGATTTATGATTAAAATGCCCGTTGCCGAGTCGGAGCCTCATTGACAAATCAATATACAGTATTCATAATAAAAGAAAATGGACGAAATTAAGTAGTCCAAAGCAGACTTATCCCCACTGCCTGCACCGTTCACGAGCATGACGCATGAGCCAGCCATCGCTTCGCTCAATGCTATGTCAGTTAACCTACGTATCTTCATTACGGCATATGCTGCAGAGCTAAGTTTATTCTACAATTTATCAATATGTGGACCCCACTGCAGTTTAGAATCTAATGTTATTCCTAAAAATACTGTTGTATCCACAAAGCCCATGTTCTTATCTTTTATATTCATATTTATATCTAGTTTTTTAACATAAGCAGTACAAATTTTAGGCATTTTGTTTTTCCTTCATTAAGCAGAAGATTATTTACATTAAACAAATGTATTACTTTAAAAACGACTAAAAGTTCTTAGAACGGAGATAGTCAGCAGTAGCTTAAAGTGCGGTTATCGAATTGAGCAAACATTTATTTTGTTTCTACCTTTACTTCTAATCAATTAAAATTCGACTATTACAAGTGAAATTTAACGATCAACTATGTATACATAGATATATTAAAATATAGTTATATATCCGTACGCGTTCGGAACATTCGCGCGCATTCAATATCTGCATTTTAAGCTGTCCACCTCAGTTCCATTATTAACTGTTCTTTTATTATATAATATGTAATATATAAAGCACTGCGGTAATTTTCAGTCGTTACTAAACTCTCGCACCGACTTTGTTTGTCGGCGACAGTTTATATAGAGTGCTGACTCGCGGTATCCCACAATAATGCCGCCTAACTACCTTCACCCCATTTTTGTAAAATTTTCAATTATTACTAAGCACTTGTAGAGTGAATAGCTCAGTGGCATAGTGGATAAGCGCCGCGGCCCGCGATCGTTGTCGTCAAGCAACTTTCGCAAGGGTCGGTCACGGGATGGGTGACCAAAAAAAATATCATCTCGAGCTACTCCGTGCTTCGGAAGGCACATTAAGCCGTTGGTCCCGGTTGCATTTGCAGTCGTTAATATCCTCCAATCCGCATTGGGCCAGAGTGGAGGTTCATGGCCTATCCTCCTTAACCATTCATAAGGAAGGCCTGAGCCCCTGCAGTGGAGACGTAAAAGGGCTGATGATAATGTTGATGATTTGTAGAGCATGCCGTAATTTTACATACATCAAAGCGTACCGTCGCCAGGTGTTTCACTTCCTGACCTGACTCGTGTACACCACGACGCCCTATTAAGTTATGAACCATAACTAAACTCATTTCGATTTTTTTTTGCCAGCTCCTACTATATGTGAATAGATTGTCGTCAAAAAGTTTATCGTCTGAGGAAAATACATTTTTTCAAGTCATTCAAGCCAATGTTTCTTTGCATATTAAATGGTAAATAGTTACAATAAATTGCATCGTAGAATTGTATCAATAGTCAGTCATACAAAATACATGACCATGGTCATATATATTTTTCAATAGATACATTAAACTCAGTAGTACATATTTATTAACCTGTGTGAGATACTTTGAGCGTATCCCAAGAATGCACACTGTTGTCATCTGAACCAGCCATGATGTATCTCCCACTAAGGGAGAGAGCTGCAACAGGAGAAATAAAGGGTAAGCACAATTGTTATATGTCAAGGAGAATTTATAAATCGTAATTTTATAAATTCATGGTGCAATAGTTTATACTGCAATTTTATTTTCTCTGTGCTTGTCTACCCCAGAAGGGGACTACGTTAAGAAATTATATTCATTTACTTTGGTGATACGTGTCACCTTTCTTCGGGTGTTTGTAACGAGACTTATGTAAGCAAACAAATGTGAAACGAACTCTAGATAATAGTGTGGAATTTGAGCATATTTTTTTTGCCAATTTTGGTTTGTTGCCGATTAGTATAAAAAGCAGCGATATATAGTAGATCCACAAAACGTGTGTTTTATAACTGATAAGTGTTTATATCGGGAGATAGTTGAATTAAATAAGCTTAAAGGTATAAGATAATATCAAATTCTGTATTTAGTTCTCTATTGTTAATGAATTACTAATAATTAGATTAATTATACACTTTACTTTTATTTAAAAGATTACCTACCGCAGCTCGTGAACCCGCAATTCCCAGGAGGCGTGTAGTGGCCCAATTGTTGGTCACTACGAATATCGAATAGACGTGCAGTCTTATCCTCAGAAGCTGTAGCAAATGCCTGCCCGCTATTGTGGAACTGAAAATTATTGAATAATAACATGACTTTATCATAAAGGTGGGTAAGGTAAAAATTCTAAAATATTTTTTTTTTTATTGGATTTAATTTATTTTTTATGATAATTGAGATGCAGCTTTCTTATTGCTTTATCCAAAAAGACTCCCTCGCAGGTTAATCTAAATGTTAAAAGCCTGTTATATAAAGAACTAACCGCGACAAAAACACAGAGAAGCAAGCCATAATAAAATGTTACATATCCAAATTATGCCGTGTGATAGCAAGCAATTATGAAAAAACCAACAACTTGCGACAGAAAGATAAGGGACATTCACCAACAGCCCTTTTACATCCCCACTATAGAGGCTCAGTACTTCTTTATGGCTGGTTAAGGAGGATGGGCCATGACTTTCCACGCTGGATGCACACCCTATGTGGATTGTAGAGTATTAACGACTGCAAATTCAGACGGGACCAAGGGTTTAACTTGCATTCCGAAGAAAGGAAAAGCTTGAGAGAATTATTTTTTTTGGGTGTTATTTGTGTTATTTTTGTGTCCAAAAATTTTATGTTAATGTACAATGTTCAATAATATTGTCACAACAGGAAGGAGCAGTATCAGAACGAGCGAACGAACTGCCTTAAAATAATTCAATTATAAGGCAGATCGTCCACTCGTTTTAAAACTATTCCTGCTGCAAAGACGAAAGAGTTGGGAATTTGAATGAACTAACAAACTACAAGGGCGAACTACTTCGTTAAGAAATCGAGAACACTATTATTAAGGGAAATTAATAAAACTATATTTTATTTTAACTTAAATTGTTTACTAAAATTCAGTACAAAGTCCGATTGGTTTAATTAGTTCAAATAGTTTTTTATTAAATTAAACGTTTTCTTATATGAAAAAATCTCCTTTTACTGCTCTTCTTTGGTTCATGACATTTGCTTGTGACCAAATAATTATTAAGTCTCATGTCTCTGTTGATTACTCACTGGTACTATGGTGGTTTTACTTTCAATGTCAGTCTAAAAATGGGTTGTTTCGTATCCATGACGTCTCATCTCACTTCTTTACTCATCCCAAACTCTGTATTCCTAACTCAACCTATGAATATTTTTCTTAATTTAACCTAAACTCGTATTCCTTACTCATCTTGAAGTAAATATTACTACAAAACTATGGATGACATAACAACGCCTAATATTTTTCAGAAAATTATAATATACACTGGAAATACTTATATCTAATAATATAAATTAAATGTTTGTGTTTATTTTTAAAAAGGATTATTACCTACTACTACTCGTACTAATTATTTGTGAAAACATAATTTATTTATATTCTTTTCAAGAAACTTTTCAATGAAGAATTGTGAATGCAAAATGTATCATCTATTACATATAATTTTATCCGATTGTTATTATTATATCTAATAGAACAATTATTGGACAAGAATTAATTTGCATTAAAAAAATAAAAGATAATATTTTTGTTCAGACTATACATAGAATTCATGCAATGTGTAAGTGATTTAGAAAAAACTCTAGAATACTGAGTGGTAAGTATAAGTTTTACGCTAACGCGTTCACTAGTGAGCGCGTTAAGAATTTGTATGGAGATTTATACTTCTTGGTAGTTACCGCTAGAGGCGCTGTACCGGATTCTATACTAAAATCTTAACGCGCTCACGATCGACAGTGAACGTAAACATCAAAAAAACTTACACTAAGCATTCTGATAGAATGAATAAGTAAAATGAAAATTGTTGCGAGTTGAGTAAACAATATGAATAGGATGAGTAAAGAACAATAATGAACAGGACGAGATGTCATAGGTGATTAAACCTTAATCTGCTCACATAAATACCACAATAAAACCACAATTTTTCTGCTATTGGAAATTTTATAATAGTTTGACAGACGATAACAAAAAATGTTGCTTTAAATAAAACCATAGATATTAACATAAGAAAGGAGGTACAAAAGGAACACAGTTTCTATTAAGAGCTTTTACATAGGTATATATTAGGACGGTATATTTAATATAGTATTAATGTGTATTTAATTATTTATTTATATGTTTATTATTATAGTATGTATTTACCTTATTAAACAGGATAACTACGGAACAACCCCTAAAATATCGAAGTTCATTTAAGTAGCTTTTGTGCATTACGAACGTTCGTAATTATACCCGCTTCTTGTGCAATTGCCTTTGCAGTATGTAATAATAAGAGGCAACAATTAAAACAGCTCTCTATCTGTTGGCGTTCAAAAAGAGTTGGCTCTGCTGATTTCTGGTCTTTCTTTTTTGTTTTTTGGACATTATCTACAACTTGAGGACTTGTTTTAATTTTTTCGTTATTGGCCAATTCTTTAAACTTTCTCTTTTAAATGTTATAATCTGGCATTGCTGGATTTCCGTTAATCTTTTGCTAAATTCATATAAAAAAAACTAGACCAACAAATAATTGCAATTGTAATTGTACTATACGCTAAATGGAAAAATTAAGTTCAATCCGTCGGCACTTAAAACAGCAACTGATTGTCATTCTTACTTGGTCGAGGCCTCTCTCTTTTTGTTGTTCCTCGTGACCTTCAAAAAAGGTCAATTGTAATAAAAATCAACTCTCAATCGATTGTACTAAAATCTTATTTATGTTGCCTCTATCTTTTTGTCGTGAACTGTATGATCATTATCTAAATATAAATGCTAGGTGTAATGCAAGTAATGACGGTAAAAAGTTCACGTTCTATAACAGAGTAAGTTCTTGGGATATGAAATTTTAAATCCATGCAATAGCTTTTTATCGCATAACATAGCAACTAAAATGTATCCGTATGCCGACACATCACTATGAACTACGAATAATTTAATGAAATGTGACTGAATTATGATGAATACATTTTCTACGTCTGATCCCCAAAATGTTTGAGCATTTTTTGGTTTAATAAAAAAAAGAGTGAATATTTTGTCAACTTCATATCGTAATCGTATCCATTTTGATTTTGATGGGCACAAGTGTTATATTTCTAACATAAAGAGTGTAATCGACAGTGAGAATTTGATGGACAACTAAATATATTTTGCCTGGAAGTAGAGTTTCTGTGGTTGGTGGTTTGCTTTTCTGCTATTACATATTCTTTGTTTTTTTTGGAAATATTATTACAGCATCGGTGGTGATAAGTTAAAATAATAGAAATGTCTGTACTCATTATATATATGACAATATTTTTGTTAATAAGTTCACCGAATGCTAAGGTACCATGGACAATGTTTTTGTGGTGAATAGTGAAACCAGTTGTAGAAGAATTGTCACTCTTAAGTCAACATATCATAATTTAATGGCTTACATTAAATAAATAATTTGACAATATTTATAATAATTATTGAACTTTCATCAAAGTTGTAATGATTCACCTTATCTTCAAGGTAATTACTTAGGTAATGAAGTAAAAGTAATCGATTCAACGAAACTTCTATGTCTACTATAGATAGCAAGCTGTCATGGAATTTACATTCGATAATTAAAAAAAAAAACAATTCTCATACGCACTTCATTAATAGAGGAAAGTAGCTCACATTAAAATACTACAAATAGCTTATTATGCAACTGTTGCTTCAAATCTAAGGTATGTCATAATGTTGTGGGCTAACAAACATAGCATCTTTAGAGGTGTCTAGGATCCATGTTCGGATTAATACAAGATGAGTCGTGTGAACCATACTTTCGTAAGCATATAAATTTTACACTACCGTCTATGTTAATATTTTATGAGATTGCAATTTTTCTTCGAAGAAACCCATACTATTTTGACATTGGAGGATGTCGAAAACTACTCAGTAGAATTTATATACCTATATATATAAATTTCTTGCGTTACTGAGCGACTGATTGACTGAAAAACAGACGGACAGTACAGCCGAAACTACCGAGCGTAAAAAGTTGAAATCGCGGGATAGCGTTTAAAAGCTAGTATTGGAATATAAAACTAATAAATACTTACGCATACACTGTTAACGTCAGCTTCGTGGCCAAAGAATGTCTGTTTGGCTTTATCTTCCCTTACATCCCAGAGTTTGCATGTTCTATCCACCGAACCTGTCACATAAGTTTTCATATCTGCAACGAAATCAAACGTCAATGTTAAAAAGTTGGTTAATTTTATTGTTGTGTGTTTAAATTTTTTTTTTTCGAAACAGTGCGATAATCATCTTTCTAGTCAATCGCAGTTTTGCCTTACTACGTATTTATATAAGCAGAGAACAATATTTTTAAATATCGTAACCCACTAAACATTTTTTTAAAATAACTTTATAATAATACCGCCGAAATAAATTGATTGGGCAAAAAATCATAACTATAGTATAGTTTATATGTATCTGTGACTATAGTTTCTAAATTCTAGGTAGAATTATATGGAAATAAAATTTCTTTTGTTTTTTAAAAAGTAAAAAGTTTTTCTACTTGTGAACAATTTTGATTTTGCTGGTTACTAGGTGTTTGCTTTCTAGCGTCGATATCGTAAAAAATAAAGTATATATAGGGTGAGGATACTCATTGGAACGATCAGTCAGAGGGGACGGTGAAACGGTTTTTTTTTTAAAGACTAACGAGATTAGGCATATCATGGTTAAGCCCGGATATTCTATGAACCGGACTTGGTCAGAATTAAATCGCCTGTCCGACTGTAACGGTTCGAATGTGACTTACCTGTGTAAACTCTATCATGAACGTTCGAAATGTTAATTTTTTTCCAGTACCAATTTTAATTAGTTCTTTTACTTTTATGGGCTCTGACAAATGTGATTTTTTTATCATTTACGTTATTACCTGGGGAAATATTCAATATATGTCTTATGAAATTCACATAATTACAAATTCCCGATAGGTTTCCATCCGTTTTCCATTTGATGATTCGTCATGAGATTTTCCGGACCGTCTTTGTTATTTCAATATAGATTCTGATATTTAAAAAAAACGAATTCTTATAAAATGCACATAAATATATTTTATATTGTATGATTGAACCTGTTTGCATAATATATAAATGCAATTAACATAATATATTCTATAAATACATATTAACGTTATCGTGTGTCATGGATCAAGGCACATAAAAAAGCGAGGTGTGTGCACAAACATTAGGTCAATACTTTATGAGTTTTAATTTTTCACCCGCTTACATCTTACTCTCCCACGACTCCTAGGTTGGCTGGAAGAGATCTCTTCTAGAGATAAGCCCACCTTTGTAACAAATTTATTTGTACCTTTATAACATTTAATTACCTTTGTAACATTTAAATACCTTTTTGTTACAAAATAAAGTCATGTTAAGAATAATATTAGTCACCTGGTGATAGTGAGATGCTGACAACATCACCTGCATGAGCGTCAAATTCCATAGTCCTTTTGCCAGCCTCTAGATCCCATACGCAACTGTAAATAATCAATTGTTTTAATGAAATTTTACACAATTATGTATGACCTAAGCAAATGTAATTATATTTAAACTACTTTAATATATACTACTTAAGATACTCGTACAATTATGTGACAAGGTTTTTATATCAATTTAATAACGGGTTACCTAGCTAAATCAGGGGGGTTAAGTAATTTTTTAGTCTGCTGTTCAGATTGACTAGATATTATGATAGTACGAATATACAACACACAACACAAGTGGCAACAAGAGGATTAAATCGCTTCCCTGCTTTCGAATACCTATGTTGAAATCTTTTTAGTATTATATATAATAAAAACAGTCATTCAACCTTCGACTCTATTATGATACTTAATTAAAAGTCAGTTTACTGGATCTTACATGATGATGATTTCACTATAATGGCATTAAAAAAAAACTAACAAAATTCGCAATAATGTATCATAATACTCATATATCACTTAATTTTCTCGTCAGTTAATGACTAAAGTGACATTGATTGAATCGAAGTTTAAATTGTTTTATGACAGAATTTTAATAAAAATACCAGTAGTTTTACATTTTCATATCACCGGAACCAGTGAGAATGTGCTTGTCGTCTAAGAAACGGCAGCTACTGAGGAAACCCTCGTAACCGGCCAACTCTCGCACCATCTTAGCTGCACCGGTTGCATCGCGGTTGTTCACATCGTAAACGGTGCACATGTTGTCCATACCACCACATGCTGCGTAAACCAGAAGTAAAAATCTTTAAGTCTAAAACAAAATCTCAAAATCTAGTTTGTTACGCCATTCCTAAGGCAAAACATTTGATATTTTTTTTTTTAGTTTCCATCCTCCCAGAACGACAGATTAACCGGTAAACAAATATAACAAATTAAAGACTAAGCAAATTGATGACCTTAGATTTGTTAGATTATGGCAATTGTCGTAATCGCAAAGACAATTAAACATTGCATTGCCCACAAATAATTGTTTATTTACGTGGACTGTTTGACAAAAATGTTTCGCAGATCTTTAATCGACTATCATAATTTGTTTTTAAGGCATACATAATGGTTTAACTTTACTGTATCTTGACCGTCTGCAATAACGATTATGAGTCACTTTACTTGTAATCCATACTAGAGATTGAGAGGCAGCAAAATATCCAGATTACTAAAAGTATTTTTTTATAAAGGCGAAAGCGACTCAAAATACATTTTATGTTGAATAAATAAGTAATTGTAAATTATGTTTTTGATAGAATAGCTTATGAAATACAAATATTTAATAGAGATTCTCCTCACCAACAAAATTCCCTGAAGGCGCGAAAGCGACGCTCATGACCCAAGCGGACCGCAAAGGTATCACCTGTACCTTGTTGCCGCTCCACGTGTCCCATATAATGAGTTTACCATCAAGGGAGCCAGTCACGCAGTGCCTGCCACAAACATTCACATTTATTTTGTCAGTGTATCGATATTATTCTGCCAGCAGTGCATCATAATAGTGTCAAATTCAATACTAAGATTTTACTTTCGCTTTAGATTAAAGTTTTTTTATTGCGTTGACGGTTTTCGCAAATGCAAGAAATATAAAAGAATATATTAATAAGTTAATAATTACCTGGAGTCACCACTATAGTGGACAGAATTAACTTTATTGATATGCCCTTTTAGAGATTTCTTGACGACAAGTCTTATCTTGGGAACATCGGACATATCCCCACATTTTTCCGCTAGCTTAGCATCAGCTCCTTTTTCCTGTTCAGCCTGAAAAAAAAAATTGTTTTAAGTAGACACGGCACCGTAAACGAAAGAAATAAGATTAAGTTCGTGATTGAATAACCTGAGATTTTATTAATTTATTTGTTATCTACCTTTACTTTGGCGATCAAATCTGTTAATTCTTTCTTCAATGCCGTGGTCTCTGGATCTTCCTTCGGCATGGTCCTTTAAATTCGAATTTACTTTAATGCGTGTATCCCCGACGGCTGCTAGATAGTATGTAAACGGTACGTTACCAACTACCCCGTAAGTTTAATTATATTACTTAAATTGGATTTCAATTTACTGGTCGACGGAAGCTTTACATGTGCATTGGAGCTATATATTTATTATCTAAACGACATAGTTCATAGTTATTTTTTCAGATTCATATAACTTACGTTAAATTATAGTAAGTTGGTTAAAAAATAATCTTGAGATTTGTAACAAGCTATTTTTTTATAAAATATAAAAACAAACTGTCAATTATCCTTGCGATTTTCATACTAAAAGAATAGTTTATTTTCTAGTTATTTTAATAGGCCTAGTAGAAACTGCTATCTTAGCAAATGCTTATATACCTTAGCAATTACCTTTTGCATGTGTGTATATTTATATTTGTTTTTAGTGCAATAAAGTGTATTCATTAATTCATTTTCTTTCAAACAAAAAGTTACTTCATTAAATAAGAGTCAGTTACTAATATTTTGGGAAACTAAACTAAGGTTTTATCTATCCATCTTTTATAATTAAGTATTAGTAGTACAGTTTAATTACATATTATCAACTTGCTAATGGTTTTATCCTTGCACGACGTAGAAGTTTCCTTTTTTTATGATTTTTAAAAAATAATAAAGAGTACGCTGATTTAAAATAGTCTACTAATTCTTTTAATTTTTTATTATAATGATCAAGGACAATGTTCATCGATTTGAAATAATTTTCAGTGTTTTCTTTTATTTCGTGTGTTTCATACACACGCCAATTTTCCCTAAAGTGCAATCACATGCAATTTTTACTTCGATATTAAACTAAACAAATAGTTCAATCAAAACTAAGTAAAAACGTAATATTAGGCTTATAAAATACAAAGTTCAATCTATACGGTTTTTTGCCTTTATTTTGAATATTGATGGAATATTAATATGTGAGGCTCAATTAGTGAGTATAGTGGTATAGTATATGCACGTACTCACAAACTGAGTCTCCTGTAAGCTTCAAGAGAGTTTCTGAGCGTTGTGATTGCGATTCTCCAGTGGCTTGTTATGATCGACCTTGATCTTCATCAAAGCACACTGTCAACAGCTGATTGGCAAGATGCTTATCCACTTGACTGTTGAAGAATGTCACGCTAATCCATGGTCCGAGGACAAAGTCAACTAATGACATTATCGTACTAGTACAATGTTGTCAATTATATTTTACAGTAAGATGCAACTGATGTGGTTCATTTATGTACCTTCGAAGAATACTGAATTAATAGAAACTCCACTCAAAATACGGTACAGAGCAATTTCGACACCAGACTAGGGCGCAATATTCCCGTTTCAAGACAAATAAATGTTGCACACCAATAGCAAAACCAAAAAACATTCACAATACTTAAAAATATTGAAATAATATTATATTACAAGTTTACACAGTATCTACTGAGAAACTGAAATGTATAGAGGCGAGTTGGAAATATAATAGCGTTATACTGCATACATAATTGGATAATTAGTTCTTGGCTTAGTATGTTAAATAATTTACGAATATGGTATCGAGTTAATAGGAAAGACATAAATTCTGATTTCGATTATTCAAAATTGTAAGTAAGAAATCATAACTGAAATTAAACAATTTTTTGTTCAATTCCTTCAATGTTGCCACGGTTAAACTACGTATATTTTTCGAGTAACATGATGAGAGTTTGTTTCGAGCGTCTTTTTTGCAGTAAAATTATATGATTCAATAATTATCCCTCTTTCAGTGTTTACCACCATGGTTTTCGCTTCGTGATCAAACTAAACCACATCATATTTACAATAACAACAATCTGAGTTCATCGTACAAACAACGATTAACGCGCCCATTTCAAAAATGCAAATAACAAACCAACAATTTCTTCCTGGTTTATTTTGAATACAGTCATAAAAATGAAGCGTTATATTTTTTGCAATTTAAACTTTTTTACAATAATTTCAAATACCTACTGTATAATTGTGAAAAACTGCGACTTCACTTGCTACCACCTGCAATCCGAATAGGCAAGAAAGGTAGGAGCAGAGCTGAATCACAAATATGTGCTTAATTTTTCATACAACGTTAGGCAGTTGCCCTACGGTTGGCTGCATTGGCTCATGTATAAAAAACTAGTGTTACGACACTCGTATCTTGTTGTTTAATTAATTGTTCAGAATGAAATAGGAAGAAGGAAATAGGTATAAATAAATATTAACTACAACATTTTAATTTTATCGTTATCTTTTTACAAATTTTACATTTTTGAATTTTATATTTGACAATATTTCTTGTCGGAAATCCCTGATAACTTCTAAACGGATTACCCAATTTACATAATTTCTATTACCCTAGACGTTGGACAAAACCTGACGTGAACACAACTTACCTTACAAAAATTCATTATCATATTTTAGGCAATTCGAAATACTGATTCAAAGAAACTTTTATATGAATCGAATTTAGATAACCACCTTATAACAAATTCTTGCCATGATCATAAAAAAATATTAAATTGCAGTCCCAGAAACAAAATTCAACTCGACTCGGGTAACTTTTTGATCTTTAACATAGCTTTAAGAAACTTACTTTTTAGGGCTTCTTATATAATTTTTATGAGAAGCCCTGTAAAGAAAAAATAACTAAAAGTTTCAACAGAAAAGTTACGACACAGAAGTGTGTTGCTTTCTATTTGGTCTGCTCGTACTAATTATAGAAATAATAGCTTTCTGCTTAGTTAGGTTATGCGTATATTTCGTTATACAGTTTATTTGTTGTGGTTTCACAACAATTTATGAACATTATCACAGATAATATTATCACCAGGGTATTAATGTCACCACTGCTGGGGCTCAGGCCTTCTACCGAATGTCTGCTTATATATTATACTCTTTATTGCACAAAAAAAAACAATAGTAGGTAAATGACAAGCAAGGGTGGACTTATCTCTATAAGAGATCTCTTCCAGCTAACCAAGCGTATGGTAGATCAAGTAGAAATGGGACACTGACAAGTGTAAGTAATATCGACAAATTTGTAAACTATATATTTATCATTAAAACAAAAACTTTGATATTCTCATTCAATCTAAAGTCCGATCAAAAGTTTTCTATAGATGGACTAAAATAAGAGGAATAGGCCATGACCCACCTGGGTAGCCACTGGGCTACCCAGGTGGGTGCATAGTGCGAATTGGTGCGTATTCATGACTGCAGATGCAGCTGGGACCAACGGCTTTGCGTGTCTTCTGAAGCACAAGGGATCCCGAGATTATTTACAAACAAACGATTACATCGGTTATTCTTTTAACATGTATACAAAAAGCCGTCAATTTGGCAGGTTATATTTTAAAGCAGCCAATATGCAACCTCCAATAGAGATAATAAATTTTCGATCACCCATCCTACCACCGACCATTGCGAAAGTTACTTAACAACCGTATCGCAGACCGCAGGCGCTAACCATTGCGCCATTGAGCTCCTCTCCAGAATATTGTTTTATTGCATTTTATTCATAAACACACAAAACTCATTATCACAGTGCTAATATGTTGGTCTTTGTATAGGTCTCTTGGTTGACTTTCATATAAAAAAGAATTGATTTTTCTACCTAGGTATATTGTGGACATTCTTTCTTTACCATCTGTTAATATTTTTAGTTCAATTGTTAAGAGTATGCAACAAACGGCTGTGCGGTACACGTAACTAAGTTTCATTGAGCTGGAACGGTTGCCCTAGAAGTTTTGCTTTCACTGAGAAATTTGATTTCTTTTTATATTATCAATAGAACGGTTCTGTAATTTTTTATACCCAAGTTTATCTTCAATGGAATAGATGACTATTTCCCGTTTATTCAGTTTTAAAAACATACATTTAAAATACAAAGAGGACATTTAATTGCTTTCTTTTAATATCTTATTTATGTTGAAATCTAAACAGAGAAGCTTTTTTTAACCACTGTCGCGAGAATCTTAAATATACTGTAAAAAAAAACTTGACACATAAATGAATTACGTATAGGCAGAGTGCCAAGCTTCACCAACCGTATACCATAATTATAATTATTGAAAACTCTCACTCAATATGTACGTTCTTATTACGTCTCGCTTCAACATCAGTCAGCAAAACAATGACGTGAAACGTGACTGCATAAGAGTCAAAATATCGATGTCGCAAGTGCCAGCTGCTTGATGTTAAATCTAAAAAATTAATAATAGAAAAGCACTTTTAAAAACTTTCGTCAATGAAGAAATAGAGATATAAAGCATTCAGATTTTTAATTCAGTCCATTTATCTGTTATTTTATTACAGACACTAAATAAAGTAGCCATAAATTTGTTTATGTCTAATTTTTTTTTTCATTTCTAGCTTTTCTCTATCTGCAATCAGCCTCTATTTAATAGGCTTGAATGTCTATCTAATTCAATAGATAGACATTAGACAAAAAATAGACATAAACAAATTATTATTTATCATCTAAAAATTTAAGGAACGATTTTTTCATAATTTTAATTCTAATATTTATGAAATAATGTTATTTTATACCCAACTGTTGGAAGGTCTATCAAAAGACACATCGCACGAATCTTAGACGCAAGAATTGAAATTATTTGCAATGGAATATTTAACCTATAAGTAAAGAAAGATATACCAAATGTCTGCTAATATCGACAAATTTGTAAATTATATATTTACCATTAAAACAAAAACTTCGATATTCTCATTCAATCAAAAGTCCGATCATAAGTTCAAGTCACGGTTAACAGAATTTTCCTTTTGAACAGCGTCTGTCGCTTTTATTTCACGGTAATTTAGGTTTTTTTCTTCGACTGAATAGAGAATAGCTCTCACATTTTCTGTTATAATCAATTTGTTAGCTCTTGTCGGACATTGATACCAGTCGTAGCTTGGAAGTTTTAGGGTTAACATGCCTTTTTTGGGACACCGTTGTTTTCCACTGA